CACTCTTCCATAAAGGGCATTTTTGTGCAGTGCACGACTGATTGTTGTCCTATGGACAGATTCTCCCACCTCAGCTGTAGTTATCTGCAGTTCATCCAGAGTGATCATGGGCCTCTTGGCTGCATCTCTGATCAGTCTTCTCCTTGTTTGAGATGAAAGTTTGGAGGGACGGCCGGGTCTTGGTAGATTTGCAGTGGTCTGATACTCCTTCCATTTCAATATAATTGCTTGCACAGTGCTCCTTGAGATGTTTAAAGCTTGGGAAATCTTTTTGTATCCAAATCCGGCTTTAAACTTCTCCACAACAGTATCTCGGACCTGCCTGATGTGTTCCTTTGTCTTCATGGTTCTCTCTGTGCTTTAAACAGAACCCTGAGACTATCAAAGAGCAGGTGCATTTATACGGAGACTTGATTACACACAGGTGCATTCTATTTATCATCATCAGTCATTTAGGACAACATTGGATCATTCAAAGATCCTCACTGAACTTCTGGAGTGAGTTTGCTGCACTGAAAGTAAAGGGGCCGAATAATATTGCACGCCCCACTTTTCAGTTTTTTATTTGTTAAAAAAGTTTAAATTATCCAATAAATTTTGTTCCACTTCACGATTGTGTCCCACTTGTTGTTGATTCATGACAAAAAAATTAAATTTTATATCTTTATGTTTGAAGCCTGAAATGTGGCGAAATGTTGAAAGGTTCAAAGGGGCCGAATGCTTTCGCAAGGCACTGTATTTTCTCGTTTTCATAAGGATTCAGATGAAAAACAGAGGTGTGTTGGTTATGGTGTAATCTATATTTGTGCCTACAAATACAGATTAGGAAAATAAATTCCTTCGACTCTTCGACTCTTGGTGGTGGAAGCTGAGGTGATAACCCAACAATATGCAGAGAATGCCCTTCTGTTGAGTAAGTGATGGGGAGGAGAAGAGCTATAGCATAAGCTGAAAGCTGAGTGAAGATGAAGTGAAGCACTGTTTAAACAGTTTAGCAGAGGCACAGGTGTGTAGTAGGACTCGGGCCACACACAGATAGTCAAAGATTGATGTTCACGGACTATTTTACATGAGTCCAGGTCACATCAGGATGATTGTCACAATATTTAAAAAAAAATATCTATTCTGAAGGAAGTATATTTTGTCACACTAAACATTCTACAGTGAAGAACAAATGGTCTTGTCCATTTCTAACTCTGGATTCCCAGGACCTTGTGTTTCTCTGGACAAAGTATCTAGTCCAAATATGGCCTCCAGTTCCTCCATCTTCGCTCTCTTCCTCTTGATTACTCTCCGTCTCCACTGTGTCCCCCTGTGGACTCAGCTGAAGGACATGTCACCACAACTGGATCGGACAACTCTTCATCTTTCCCTCCTCTTAACCTCCTGCTTTGCCTTCTAGCCTTTACCCGCTATACTCTCCTCCTCCCACACGCTTTTTGTTTCACTGTGTCGTTGCCGTGCTAACCTAAGACACACACACACACAAACAAACTCAATTAGCTAATGACACCGGCCTGGCCATTGGGTGGTCCTAATTAACGTTTACAGGCTGCCTGATGTCAGCTTTCAGTGGAGTGATTTATAACTCACACCAGGCTACACCACTGACACTTTCACAGTGCTTTAGTGAACTGGACCACGGACCTTCCCATGAGTAGGAGTGAGTGTATTTACCGAACAACAAAGACGATCACATCTTTTGAATTCAAACTAAAATCCCCTTTACTCTGAGTGGACCATTTATGATGACTTCAATTCTTCCATGCAGCCCACTGTGGTTTATGAGCTCATGGACCAGCAAGCACAGCTACAAGCTACACTAGTGACTCTGTGTACGAAACTAAACATTCATTTTCTGGAGAATATTGATAAAATCTGCTATTTTTCTTGTCTTGGATATAATTTGATTGTAATGTGAATATCCCCAATATCAGTGTGACTAAGAGATATCAGGAACATCCTGCCGGAGTGGGTGCACTCATGCCTCACAACAGGTTTTCACACTGACCATAAATCTGGGGTTTTCGACCAAAGAGACCCAGGATTTGCATTCATTTAGACACCAAAAGTTTTACCATTAGAACTATCCCGAGCACTTTCCTGAGTCACATCGCTCTTATAACCGTCACTTTTTACATAACATTATCCCTGATGAACGAAGGCCACAGATGAAGCCTCAGGGTCAATTAGACACAAACCCTCACATTTCTCCCGTTACATTGTTTAAATGTTTGAATGTCATCTGTCCACATGATTTGGAAAATGATCACATTATAAATAATACATGTACTTTTTGTCCGTAGTTTCAACATCTTTTGAACAGAAGGAGCAGTAGGTATGCACCTGCAGCTCGGACTCACTGTGGTCCATGTTACGTCACGGTGGCACTCTCGCTTCTCAGCAAGAAGGTCCTGGGTTAGAATCCCGGTCGGAACAGGGCCTTTCTGAGTGGAGTTTGCATGTTCTCCCCGTGTCTGCGTAGGTTTCCTCCAGTTTCCCCTACCACTAAAACATGCAAAAAAGGTCTGAATGTAAATGAGAGAGTGAATGGATGGTGTTGGTTGGGGGCTGATGGTCCAGTGTGTTCGGCGACTCGCTTCCGTCATCACCGTGTGTGGAATGATTGGAACAATATCTGATATGAACATTGTAAAGCGCTTTGGGTGACCTTGGTCTGTAAAATGTGCTATATAAATAAACATTACTTACTTACGTAAGTAATGTATATAAAGCATACGAAAATAAGTGTCTATCCTGTATAATAAATGATCACATGAACATGACAAGATCGCGTTTTTAATTAAAAAGAATTCCTTCCTATCGGCCTAAAGACATTTTAATATTTCCTCTTGTCTCATGATGGTCGAATTAACAGTTTTCAGAAATATCGATAAAATCAGCCTTCACCTTTTTGATCTGCTGGCACTGACAACCGCAGGTATTTTTTATTTAAAAATAGTCCATTATAATACAATTTCCCATGATCCTGTAGATGATCCTGTCTTAAGCCGCTTTTCAACGTGGGTTTAAAAAACCTGCTGCCTGTTCTTACTGCTGACTGTTGGGTCATCTCAGCATTTGAACACGGGTCTGCAGTGTGAAAGTGGCTGCAGTCTCTGAGTGTTTTCTGGTTTGCTCTGGTTTGTCTGCTTCTGACAGGTTTCCCCAGTGGCATTGAAGAGAAGGGTCAAATGCAGCGGACACATTTCTCCATAGACTTGCAAAAACACTGCAAGTTTAGTTTGAGAAATGATACGTCAAAAGATCCTTTTATCATCACAAATTCTGATCATGATAATCTTGCTTACCTCATTCATACAACTCATTACAACTTTAGTAAAACTTGTGAATCAGTTCATTTCACACGTATTCACAGTATTGTTATCTGTATGTTCTGCTAAAGAGATTACAGTGTTCAGTGCGAACAATCCTCCAGGTGACTACAGAGGCCGAGCAGCAGCTGTGCGGCCCTCACAGGGTTAACACACGTGGGACCTTCAGACTGTGACGCACTGTCTCGATGAAGGAAAGTCTAACAGGAAAGGCAACCCAAAAGGTCCCTGTGCAGCACGGGCCGATGTACATTTTCTTTGGCTCTGCTCTCACATTTTTTGCACTTGTTTTTCCAATTTGCTTAACTACAGTCCAATGGTTTTTAGATTTGCAGATTGCTTAGGGGTTCTGTCCTCATTTTTAAGCAGTGACTTTTGCTCTGTCTCTTCCATTCGGATGGATCAGACTACATAAGCCCAATTTTGACGACCATATCCACAGAATAGTTTGCAGATAGCCCTGCATGTATATTAAGCTGCAACTTGAGCAATAACAAAAAGCATAGGTCCAACAGTGACGTGAATAATAATATAGATTCATTATGTGGTGTATAGAAGTTAGTCCACTTGAAATTAAAATATATATTATAACAGAAATGAGCAAATATGTGTTGGCAAAGATAGCAAATTAAGTTAATCAAACATCGTGAACTTTTTTTTGTCGGATTTCTGAACTCAAGTTAAACTACAGAAAAGACCAAAGTGCATGATTACTTGAATACTACAAACATGGATTATATTTCCTAGTATTTTGTTGAGCTTTCAAAGTTTGGTACTCCAGCTTTGAAACATTATTGGTCAATAAAAAGAAGAATAAATATAATGTTTGTGTGTCTTTGTGTCAGTCTACCCCAGTGCAGCTATGACTACATTAACCGCAATATAAAGAGGACTTACTTACTCAATGCCTTCTTATACTTTCAAAAATGTGTTTGTAGGCGTTCCAACTAAACCTCTGCCTCTGTCTTGTGTCCCTTTTGCCCACTTTAACCCTTTCAGGCCCATTAGTGACCGCAGCGAGTGGTAAAGCTGCACTGCACCTGACCTGGCGGCTTTTTGCATGTTTGCATATGTGTGTTTGTGTGAATGAGAATGAGTTCATTTAGGAGGTGGACACACACAGCAGTCACGCCGCTTCATATGGTAATAACCCGAATATAAGGCTCGGGCATTGGCGGCTTGCACTGTTCGAAATGACCCCCTACCCCATCTCATTCATACAGCCTCAATGTGGCTCTCCATTCACGCTGCTTTCACATAGGAGGGAAGAACCGAAAAGGGGGTCTCTGAGGGAGAAGGGCTGGCCTGAGGAGAAGGAAAAACAATTCGTGTGCAAATGGTTAGAGGAGGACCCACCCCCTCCCCGCCCCTGTCCCGGGACGTTAGGCAAGTTAAGAATGGGCTGTTTTTTTTGTCTTTGAGCTGCATCTGGAAAGTATAAACCATATCCAAAGGTAGTGCGTTCATATTTAGTTGTGTAGAGGCGGGTAGTATATTGCGTAACAGTCCACCGCCTTTTGACTGGTCTGTGTCGACAACGGACACTTCGACAAAAGGAGTTGTGGAGATGTAAATTTGACAATAGGAGAAGGGTCAAAATAACTGTCCTCTCTCAGCGGTCCCCCCCTCACAACTGGCAAATATTAAAGAAGCGGGGATGTTGCCATGATATACAGCCGTGGTTCTCATGGGTCTGAAAAACGGAGTCGCGGGATCATCTTTGGTGGGTCACAAACCTTTTATAGGGCACATTAAAAAAAAAGTGTGATTTTTACTACACTGCAAATAAGTCAGTTTAGAAATATGTGTTTACTTTCTATAACAATGCCCTTGATTTAAGATTTTTCTCTTGTATTTTCTTCTTTTCTGTGACATTTCTTAAAATTTTTGTTTAGCCCCAAGTTACAACAGCAGGTGTTTGGAAGACTTTACAAAGTTCTCGATTCCTCAACAACAGATCAGAGAATCAAACACATAGCAGGCATTGTTCCGTGGAGGAGCGGGATGAACAATGTCCATTAATGCGACTAAACTTCCTAAAACGTTATAAATGTCCCTTCATTTCGCTTTTCAGCAAGAAGGTCCTGGGTTCGAATCCCGGTCGGAACAGGGCCTTTCTGAGTGGAGTTTGCATATTCTCCCCGTGTCTGCGTAGGTTTCCTCCGGGTGCTCCGGTTTCCCCTACCACTAAAAACATGTGAAGAAGATGACAAAGTCTGGGATCGTGTCTTTCATTCAGACAGAAGACATGTTTTATTGTCAATGGTAGAGACAGCACGAACAAAGCACACGAACAAAGGATGTAACAAACAGTTAGTGATAATATAGCATGGGAGAATGAAGTCCTCCAATCAGCAGCTGCCACGGTGTGCCTGTACAGTAGCTTGGCCTTCAGATAGACAAAACATAAAATGGAAAAGTACAGGCTTCTGCACATTGGTAGAATGATGAGTTTAACTTCAAAGTATTATGAAATCTCACACATGCACAATAGGTCTGAATGTAAATGAGAGAGTGAATGGATGGTGTTGGTCGGGGGCTGATGGTCCAGTGTGTTCGGCGACTCGCTTCCGTCATCACCGTGTGTGGAATGATTGGAACAATATCTGAACTGAACATTGTAAAGCGCTTTGGGTGACCTTGGTCTGTAAAATGCGCAATATAAATAAACATTACTTACTTACTTTAGCTTATTTTAGGCCCTCATAAAAAAATTCTGTTTCACATAAATGCACTGAAAAAACTGGCGCCTCAAGGGTTTTTTCTATAGTATTATTCAATCCGAAATCTTTTGTTACAACGCCCTGTAACTCTGTAATTCATTCTGGAAGTCTGCAGCAAATTATCAGCTCAACTGAACGTTTGTGTTGTCTCTGTCTGACTTACCACAGAAGCAGTCTCTATACTACATTTGACGTCATGTGTTGCTGTTGA